AAGTTTTTGTGGGGCGTTCTCAGTGCATATGCATCAGGGACATATGCATCAGAATTGGACCATGGAACAATGGAAGAAGGTTGCGTGGTCTGATGAATAAGGTTTTCTTTTACATCACAGGGATGGCCTGGTGCGTGTGCACCATTTACCTGGAGATGAAAGGGCAGCAGAATAAAGGCATGCTAACAGAAGCAGTATTCTGCTCTGGGCAATGTTCTGCTGGGAAACCTTGGGTCCTGGCATTCATGTGGATGTTACTTTGACAATTACCACCTACCTAGAGTATTGTTGAGGACCACGTGTATCCGTAATGGCTGTGGTCTATTTCAGATAAGTTTAATAAAATAATATTTTTAGTGCTACATTCAAGTCAGATTGGTCCTTGGATCAAGAGGATATAGGTGCATTGCTTGACAATCAATGTGCAATAAAATGCTTTTCAAAGAGAGACAGCTGGATCTTCGCACATGCCACCAAGTTCTTAATGAGAAACATTGAATCAACTCAGAAAGGTTTAGCACTGGGTGTGTCATTGATCACAATCGTAGGCCTTTGCTTTAATTTGCAGACACTCACCTTGAGGAGCAGTGCCTGCAAATCCGTGTGTGTAGCCACATTGTTTTAGAAGTATGAGAGAAGACAAGTTTGGATCTCTGATAATAGGGCTGTAAGGTGGATCTACATTGTGCACGTTAAAGCCTTGTAGGGAGAATAGCAATTATAGTAAAAGCCAAGAATGTTGGGACGGTATTAGAGAACCATAACATGATATTGTTGTGGTGCCTGGAGTATGCCATTGAACTCCTTTGTTAAAGAAAGCCTCAGAAATAAGATATCAGTTAATTCCCCATTTACATTGGGTAGTTTTCATCCATAATTATGATTACATAACATACGTAAGTATGCTTCAGTGCAAAGAAATGCATTTTGAGAACAGCAAGTTTTAAGATTTATAGCAGTGGAATTCTAACAGGCAACACATTTTAATTTGATGAATTGTTTACCTATCAAAAGGGATCAGAAGTGTGTGTTTGTAACAGCATATGCAGTAGTTTGTGTAGCGATACGTGTACAGTAGTATGTGTGTGCGCCCACCACTCGCTTAACTCTTAATTTATTTTTAAATTTTATATTAAATCAGGATAAGCTCACTTTATTACAGGCCTACCGCATACGTCTGTTTCAGCACACATCAGCCGACTTGCTCCTATGTCTATATAATACATCTAACAATACACACGCTAACGTTACAAGAATAGCACCGAACACAAACACACATATGTGTATATATATACACACACACACACCACACACTCCCTCACCTAAATGCCTCTTTCACACTTAAACGCTTCTTCATCCTGTTGCTACGAGAACATTTCCAGGATCAGGGAAGAGATCTCTAATCTCTCTCCTACTCTGACCAATACTTGCCCCAACCGCACTCCCTCCTCTGTTTTATGCTCACTGCCCCACCCCCAGTTCCCTCAAATCTCATTTGCAGTCTGGCTCCTTCTCTTGCTCTGCCCCTTGCTAAATATCAAATCTCTCCTCTGGCATATTTCCTTCACCCTTTAAGCATGCAGCCATAATCTTATTCTCAACCGTGACCCCAACTCCCCATCCAACTGCCCTATCTCACTACTACCATTTGATTCCAAGACCCATGAGAGTTGTGTGCGCAATTTTTGATGTGTGCTTCCTTGAATCCATCTTTCTGCTTGACCCGCTTCAGTTTGGATTCTGCACTCGTCACTCTGTTGAAACAGCCTTGACCAGAGTATCCAATGATTTTATTGCAGCTAAATCCATTGCTCACTACTCTCTAACTTTCCTTGACCTTTCTGCTGCTCTCAACACCGTTTATCATAAACAACTTCTCATCCTGTGTAATCTCGGTCTACAAGACCCTTCTCTTTCCTGGTTCTCCTGAAGCATCTGCCAGTGCTCTTTCAGGGTTTCTTTTTCCTGGCACTTCCTCTACTCCGCAACACCTCTTGGTCTGTGTTCCTCAAGGTTCGGTCCTCTACTGTTCTAGCTCTATGCTATCTCCCTTGGTAAACTCATCAGCGCTTTTGTCTTCCAATATCAGATCTATGCATATGACACGCAAATCTATCTGTCCTCTCCTGATCTTTCACCGTCCCTTTTGATGCGTCTGACTGCCTTTTTCTATTTCAAACTGGATGGGTGCTTACCTCCTTAAACTTAACTTTCCAAAGCAGAACTTCTCATCTTTCCTCCATCCAATGTATGGTTTCCCTCCACGTCAATGGCACTACCATCACCTGTACCTCACATGCTTGCTAACTAGGTGTGCTTTGACTCCAGCCTCTCCTTCACCCATCATTGTGATATTATAATGTGGTCCCAAAGACACCTGGAATCCATTTCAGCAGTCCACATAAAAGGCGAACAAAATGTGGGAGCGGACTACCTCAGCAGGAACAAATTGGTCTCTACACCCTCAAGTCTCCTCCGAAATAGTAAAATCGTTTTCCGGTAATAGATCTAATGGCAAGGAGAAGGAACAGAAAAGTGCAGAAGTTTGCTTCACTGTTCAGACAGGACAACCCACAGGTTCTGGACAGCATGTTGATCCCCTGATGTTTCAGCCTGGGATACCTTTTTCCTCCTATCCCAATGATTCTGAAGATCAGAGCAGAACGAGCTTGAGTGATCGCTATCCTCCCACACTGACCAACCCGGAGCTGCTTCTCAGCATTGCGACTTATGGCACTGGACTACTGGGAGCTTCCATTCTCAGATCAACTCCTGGAAAATGTTCTTCTGGAAAAAACTATTTGCATGTTCAGATTGACGGCCTGACTGTTGCACGGTTAATCCTAAAGAACCAGGGTATTCCAGATAACCTTTTTCATACAATTCTAAACTCCACCGGAACTTCTGTGTCTAGAATCTATTTGAGAATTTGGAACAAATTCCTCCATTGGTGCGTTTGGCATAATTGCTTTCATTGCCGTCCCTCTGTCAAGACGATTCTTCAGTTTTTGCAAGAAGGCTTTGAAACTGGACTCACTGTCTCTACTTTAAAGGTTCACACTGCGGCCCTCAGCCATTTTTTTCTCCAAGAGTTTGCGACATGTCTGCCGATTATACGTTTCTTCAAATCCATTCTTCTACAAAGACCACCTCGGAAATTTCAATTTCCTGTCTGGGATTTAATCTCTGTTGCTACATTCTTTATGTGAAGCTCCATTTTATTATTTATGAAATATTTTACCAGGAAAGATACATTGAAATTTCTTTTATTTTCAAGTATGTCCTGGGTCCACAAAACATTGCATTGATTGGTACATTATGGTACAATAAAATACACAATATATTCAAAATTTAACATAGAACAGGTAGGAAATATATAATCAACCATGACAAGTGCAGTCTGTTTTGAGGTATGTAGAGCGGGATCTCTTAAAGGACTTTAGGCTTGGGAAAGATTTTTAAGTGTGCGGGAGGAGGAGAAGGAGGATCGGGCTGCTTTCTTTTTGTATTGAGGTAGACTAAATAAAGTGCTGGTATTGGATCGGAGGTTATAGGAGGTAGAAACAGCTGAGGAGAGCATTTTGCTCAGGTAGGGTGAGAGTTTCCCAGAAAAGCTCTCAAACACAAGGCTGGAAAGATAAAGGGTGCGTCTGGATTCCAGCGACAGCCAGTTTAGTTCTTTTAGCATGTCACAATGGTGGGTCCTGTAATTGCATTGTAGCACAAATCGGCAGAACGAGTTATACAATGTATTGAGTTTATTCATGTGGGATTTCGGTGCAGATGCATATACTACATCCCCATAATCAATGATTGGTATCAGCATGTGCTGTACATTCTTTTCCTTTACTGTAGGGCTTAGGCAGGATTTGAACCACTTAGGTGTATCATTAAAGGACCACTATAGTGCTAACAGGTCCCTCCCCCAACCCTCATGGTACCCCTCCCGCCGGGCTCTAGGGGGAGGAAGGGGTTAAATTCTTACCTTAAATCGCGCTGGGAACTCTCCTCCCTCTTCCGACGCCATCGGCTGAATGCGCATGCGTGGCAAGAGCCGCACGCGCAGTCTGTCCATAGGAAAGCATTTCTCAATGCTTTCCTATGGACGCTGGCGTCTTCTCATTGTGAAAAATCACAGTGAGAAGCGCCTCTAGCGGCTGTCAATGAGACAGCCACTAGAGGCTGGATTAACCCATATGTAAACATAGCAGTTTCTCTGAAACTGCTATGTTTACAGCTGCAGGGTTAACACTAGATGGATCTGTCACCCAGACCACTTAATTAAGCTGAAGTGGTCTGGGTGCCTATGGTGGTCCTTTAAGACTTTTGTCGCTCAAAACAGTTTTCCTGATAGCAATTACCTCAGCTAGGTGAATTAGGGAGATCCAAGCGCTTTCCTCTTCATCAGAATTCATGATTTTTCATCAGGACAAAGTTGTGCTGCATACTAAGCCTTCTTTTTTACCGAAAGTTCAAGAAAATCTCTGAATGAACCTCTGGTGATTCCATCATTCTGTAGTTCGTGAAGATCAGATCAAGAACGGAAGTGGCATAACCTGAATGTACGCAGAGCACTTCTGATTTATTTATACCGTTCAGAAGAATTTAGGTCCTCGGTTCACCTGTTTATCAATTATCACAGAAAAAAGAAGGGTATGGGAGCATCTAAACCCACTCTGGTGAGGTGCTTAACAGACACTATTTAATTGGCTTTTGATTTGCATGGTGTTCAATTATCTTCCTCCATTAGAGCACACAAAACCAGAGCCATGTCCACATCATGGGCTGAAAAATCCAACACCTCTCCTGAAGACATCTGCAAAGCGGCAACATGGTCCTCTTATCATACCTTCATCAAGCACTATCGGCTATACATCTTGTCCTCTGAGGCTGAATATAATTACTTTACTTTTTGAGTGTATGTATGTATGTATGTATGTATATATATATATATATATATATATATATATATATTCAATAAAGTCACAATGTGTGTGTGTGTGTGTGTGTGTGTGTGTGTGTGTGTGTGTGTGTGTGTGTGTGTATATATATATATTATACACACACACACACACACACACTGACTTTATTGAGTTTTCATATATTTCCCTATGGAGAAAAGAGGCGGGTGGCAAGGTAGCGTTAATATTCCTGCTCTTCCTCACTGCTCCTTTGCGTGCTCTGCAGTGATCCTGTGATATGACATCACTTCGCCCCAGCATCACTAAATAGCGTGCGAGAGAGCATAAAGATTACCGCAGCCACAGGACCCCAGGGAAAGGACCCACACCAGCTCACCCAAGTTAGAAAGGCTGAGTGGATCTCTGAAAAAAAATTACAAAAAATAAACCACAAACAACCCACTGTAAATAAAATCAAATTTGTGAGAGATTGTGGGTATGTTTGTGTATTTCAGTTGTATCTGCCAGTGACAGTGTGTGTTGGTTAAACAGTATGTGTGCTAGTGCCTGTATGTCTGTCAGTGAAAGTGTGTTAAGCAGTGTATGCGAATGACTGTATGCCTATCAGTAAGTATGTCAGTGTATGCTTATCAGTGAGAGCATAAGGGGGGCAGAGATCAGTGCTGGCACAAGAACAGAACTGGTCTCTATTCAGCTGTGCTGGGGTCTCAGCTATGCCACTTACTGAAACCGAACTCTTTACAGCATATCATTTACAGTAACAAAAAACAAACACTAAAATTTTCCAAAAGATCTACGATTTTTTGGAACAGGCTACTAATATTAAATGGCCCTATTTATGACTGCTGGAAAATGTACTGTACATGGCTGTGCCTTCTTTTCAGGATTGCTACTTGACCCTTGCACACCTCGCTATTACACATATAGAAAATCCAGTAGTGAGAAAAACAGGAGGGAGGGGAGATGGCAATCGCACAAACCCTGCACAGAATTAATAGCATTCAGTCAATCAATAAATTCATGGTTATTTCACTAAATAAAGATCCGACAAGGGCAATAGAAATTGTAGGCCAGATGTTTTCCAGCTTGGTCATCATATTCTAAAACAGCAAGCCCTGTGACTTAGTAAATACCCCAAATAGTCAAACGCCAAGACAATTCTCAGAAAGTATTAATTGTGTTGATGGTGTATACTATAGCATTTTGGGCCTCACAAAACTTAGCAACAATTGAGGTTGAACTGAGTAGTGATACATAGTACACAGAAGCTTATAATAAGTGACTGAGTTTGATTAGCATTACTGGATATTTTCCAATAAGACATGTTTAGTTAGATATATACACAGGAACAGCAATCTAATTCTAAGAAACAATATACACTTTGGATTGGGCAAAAGCTATTCCAAAGCATAGTTTGGGCCCAGATATCAATTTATTATTAATCATGGCTGAATTCCTTGGAATGCCTTCCTAGTGAATGAATTACAAGCAAAGTCTGTACAATCACAAGGAATTAGCATAGGCCAATGGTACACATATATTTATAGAAATATTTCGTCACTGAACCGAACGCTCCGTATAACCCAGAGATTGTGGTTCCACAAAACTTTTTTTACTTCAGCTATAGCTCAAAAAGGGGCTATAGATGCAGATGATGCATTTCTCAAAGTATTACAGTAAAGAGGCATCAACAATGATTTTTAGTTAGTAGTTGATCAACCCTCAAAGCTATAAAACGGATGCCCAAAACTTAGGACCTCAAATATTATAGAATTAGAATGTCGACGCATCATGAAAGGGGAGCTCTAAAAAACATCTGGGTCACTTACCTATTGGGAACCCCTGCTTTTCAACATTCCCTCTTGTCAACTGCACCATCCTGGTTCGGCCATGTACATGCTTTGTCAATAAATGCAACAGGATTAACTCATGACAGTAAACCCAAAATGGAAGTGTTAATACACTATCAACGCATCCTTTAGAACATAATGTATTTATATGCAAGAACAACTGATAAACACAGATATTAACACTACCAAAAAAAGCGAGTCAACAAAAATAATCTGCGTGTCCCTTTAGTTTTATGGACAGTTGCAATTACAAAAATTGATGGTGTATATAAGGTAGACCAATAAGCAAGTATACACACACACACAAATAAAATAAACATTCACTCCTGAACGTAAGTGACACGAATTGGGCTATGATCAATCTGAGTTTGTTGATAGGAAGCGATAAACAGTTATGGGTGCCAGTGATAGGATCATGCAAATAGAGGGTTCCACATTATGTCCTAGCGGACCGCTTAATTTCTCAGTAAAGTTACTCAATTCAGCTATCCCAACAACTCCATGTACTCCTACCTGCAGCTTCCCTAGCATACAATTTAGTTTGCAAGGATAAAACAAGTGTGCGGATTCTTGGTGGTCTGTACCTGAGCGTTTCTTCATTCTGCCTGTGGATTTCTTCGCTGTTCCTTTGAAAGGTGCAAAGTGCATCTCTCCCTCTCCTATAACACCTGCTGTACCTTTTATATTAAGACAACCAGCTTAATGTTTAATCAGAGAGAGGTCTCTTGTCTTCTATCTGTGCACAGTGACCAACCCCCCCTCACCTAGCAGGGAGTGTCAGCTAAGGCAGAGAGGCGGGGAGGTGACACCTTCACACAGGCTGTGAGTGAATGTCATCTGCATGGAGGTGGCAAAGGGAGGGGGAGTGTATATTTTTAATTCAGATCTATTTATTCCTTGTATGCTGTACTTAGAGAGAAGTGTATCTTTTTAAATCATTATTTAACAAAACACATGTAACACAGAACGAATATTCACAGCTACAAAAATTTGCCTCTATTAGGGTCTCTCAACAAAGTGATATCAAATATGAATAAATTAATTATACCCAATCTAAGGAACCCTGTGCAGAATGTTACGTTTTCTTTTAAACTTTCCTTACGAAGGCAAAGGGCAGGAAATCCTTTTCTAGTATGACAGTCTTGGCAAATCATTTGTTATAAAGGGGTTAATTGTGATGTGGCATTATAACGGTGTATTACAATTGGTTACCAGATCCACCGTGTTTCCCTGTATGCACACATTGCATCTATTGAAAACGTGAATGTGATGTGTAGCCATGTAAACATGCAGGACCATTCGGTAAAGTGAAAATTCAAAATTAGTTCAAGATGAATTTCAAAATTAATGCCAGAGTAGCTGAACTAAGAGCATAGTTGACAGAGGATTTTCCCGGTTTGACTATTTTGACCTTAAATGTGAAATTCACTATGAATCCTCACTTTAGTAATTAACCCTGACACTAACTGTAGTACAAAGTTTTATGAAGGTAATGAAAAGCTGCATTATAATCTTGTTTGGTGTTACTGAAAACAGTATTGTGATCACTCAAAACACCAAACCATTATCCAGGGCACCTGCCATTCTACACGCATTCTGATGGTACATGAAATATGCTTAAACTGTGGACATCCCATTTTGAATAAAATTACTGATTTTTCCTACAGAAAATATCATACTGTATAATAGCGTGAATCTAACATACTTACAGGCAGCACTTTTCATGCCCCATTACCATGTGCAGCATGTAAAAGTGAGTTGTATAAAGGATGGCACATGGCAGCCCTAGCTGCTTACAAATTAGGCTGCAGGATAAGGGCAATATACGCAGGGAAAACATACCACACACTTGAGTACACAACAAATGCGCGCACATGGGTATAATTAGACAAATGAGCAATGTGGCCTACTTCCTGAAAAGTGAATTATTGATCAGTTTCTGCTGATTCAATTGATTTGATTTTCGTGGGAGTTATTGCAGAAATTAATGGATGGGAGCTCTGCAGAATGGAGCTTGACTTTCACCTGAAAAATGGAAAGTGAAAAAAGAAAAGAAAAATGTTTTTAAAAAAAGTTTTAATTTGCACTTTTTTTGCTTTGCCATTGCCTATTTATTTAATTGGATACACACCACACTGACTATATTTCCCCTTTAAATATGCTTAGAAAATACCATGATTATTTGCACTTGTGTGCTGGAAGCAAATTGATACACACTGTCCACATGCAAAAATATTAATGGGAAGAAAACCTAATTTGCATCAACTTCCTGTATGTCTCTTTTCAAAAGGCATATGTTGCAAATTAAAAAACACTAAGAAGTTTTTAGTTTTATATTTGTCAACTCAGGGGATTATTAACTAAACAGTTACCTGAAAAAAAAATAAGAGTTAATTTTGTAATTAAACATAATAAAATTGTTTTAGGTGAGAGGCTTACGGTCCCTATTCCCTATGTAGATAATGCATTCAAATATACACATACATATTTAAAAATCACAACAATAAAAAAATAAAAATAAATGAGTGCTTATTAAATAAACCTCTGGGTAGGAAAACGTAGCAGAATACCAATCTTGCTTATTCCCTGCAGTTCAATCTTTATGCTTCTTTCTTAATAAAATAGACTTTCAGTCTTTAAAGGATCACTATAGTGTCAGGAAAACAAAGCAGTTTTCCTGACACTATAGTGTCCTGAGGGTGCCCCCACCCTCAGGGTCCCCCTTCCGTGGCGCTGAAGGGTTTAAAACCCCTTCAGCAGTTTACTTTATTCCAGCGCCGGGCTTCCTCGGCGCTGGTGACCTCTCCTCCCCCGCCGACGTCAGCTCCCTCTGCCGACGTCAGTGGAGCCGAATGCGCATGTGCGGCAAGTGCCGCACGCGCATTCAAGCTGTCAATAGGAAAGCATTTCTCAAAGCTTTCCTATGGACGCTCTGCGCGATGGAGGCATAATATGCCTCCAGCGTCGCAGATGCGCCTCTAGTGGCTGTCCAGAAGACAGCCAATAGAGGCTGGCTTAACCCCAAATGTAAACATAGCAGTTTCTCTGTTTGCATCTGAAGGATTAAAACCTGGGGGACCAGGCACCCAGACCACTTCATTGAGCTGAAGTGGTCTGGGTGCTATAGTGTCCCTTTAAGCATCCTTTTCATATATGGGTTGTTTCCAATAATAAAATACATATATATTTTACTACATAAAGTTGCGACAGTCTATATCAATTTGGGGGGTTGTTACTCCTTGTAGAACACAGTTTTATTGTGTGGAGTGGCTTTAAAATGTGCCATTTAAATGTGAAGTTTGCTATTTTACATAA